ACAGCTAAACACTGAACTGAACTCCTGGAATCCAGTTGCAGAGAGGGATAGGTGATGACCAAAGGGGTCAAGAACAGGCTGGAGAAAGCCACAGAAACAGCTGACCTGAACAAGGGGGAGTTCATGGACCCCACACTGATGGCTGGGAAACCAGCATAAGACAGACTCAGAACCCCTGAAAGTGGGTCTCACTTAGGAGGCCTGGGAAGTCTGTGGTACCTCTGACAATGGAACCAGGATATATCCACAGTGCAGAAACAGAGTTCAGGAGCCCATTCCCCATGGAGGGAGACTTCCTCAGCCTAGAGACACAGGGGAGGGCCTAGGCCCTACCCCAAATGTCTTGACAGATTTTGATGATCCCTCTCTCATGGTAGGCCTCACCCTCCCTGGGGAGTGGATGGGGGATAGAATGGGGGGCTGTGGGGAGCATGGGAGGATGGGAGGGAGAGGGAACTGAGATCGATATATAAAATAAGAAAAAATATTAAATAATAAAAAATGTGCCTACCTTTATATGTGACTAGGTTTGCAACCAATGCAACTATATATATATATGTATATATACATATATATGTATATGTATATGTATTTAGTATTTTGATTATTATGTGTTGTGGGGAATTTCTATTCTGGTCCTGTCTATTCAGTATTCTATTTCTACTTATCCCTTATCCCTACTATGTATAGATTTGATCTTTTCATAGTATCCAAGATCTCCTGAAAGTTTTGTATTTAGGTTTTTTTGTTTGTTTTTGATTTAGTGTTTTCTTTGACTGAGTTAACCGTTTCTTCTACTTTGCCTTTAAGACCTGAGATTCTCTTTTACATGTTACAATCTGTTGGTGAGGCTTACAACTGAGGTCTTTGCTAAGAGTCCCCAGAGAAGTAGGGTGGGAGGGACAGCTTCTGCCTGCTGGTAACTACAGAACTAAGTGTGATTCAGGAGAGACTGGAATTGAAGACAGGAATGATAGTAAAAAATCTCCTACCTGCATCCCAGCAGTGTGGCCCCTGGGGATCTCTGATAGAACACGTTTCTGCAGATCATCAGTTGACACAAAGGAATGGATATGGGCTAAAAGGAAAGGCCGAGAAGGGTGGTGGGAGATAGCTAGGCGAACCCTTGTGTCTGTACCAAGAGGGAGGGGCAGGTATGATGAGAAGTGGGCCTCTTGCAGGCAGACTGTAGTAGAAGGAAGACTCAGGTAACCCTAACTCCATTTTCTGGGTACAGAAATTGGAGCATGAAGAAGTCAGATTTTGCTCAAGTCTCACTGTGGAGGAGGAAGTCGTTTTGTGAGACTGTTACTATGTGAGCTCACAACAAAAACGATGCATCTGGTTTGGGACAACCTTGTAACAAACTCTACTATCAACTGCATCTTTTCCACTCACTAACCCAGATGAGATCAACTTTAACCTCGAATTCTTACTTCCTGTATAGCTCTGCAACTTCTCAGAGATGTAAGCTCTTGTTTCTGCTGGACACATGCTCCATGCAGAATTTCTGAGTGGTTTCATTTCCATCCTGTCTTGATGATCACCTATGTGTGGGTCCAATCCCTACTGCTTTGTGTAGTCTTCTCTTAGAGATGTGGAGTACTGCTATGACCTCTGTGGGCCATGAAATGTTCATTGTAATATGCAATTACTTCTTCCTACCAAAAACCAGAGCAAGTGAGGATACAACATCCCAGTGGGAAGTACACACAGTGACAAAGCACATAGTGGGACTTTTATTTGATACTAGGCTGGTGCTCCCCCTCCCCCAGTGACTTAACACAGCAAACTTTTGGCTACATCACCATATCACCATCATCATTAGTTAATCAACTGATCATCACCATCATCCAAACATGCATGAAGAGTGCTCCTAAACCATTGTTTTCCATTATGCTTATATGTTACCTAAAACTTTCGAGTTACATCTTACTAATTATAATCTTACTAGTTACAACTTTTTGTTGTGCATGACCTACTTCTGCTTTGCAACTCTATCTACAGGACATTGGGAAAGTAATCTATCCTTTCCTGATGAGGATTCCAATTTCTTCACAGTACCACCTTGGGGACTAACTATGATAGTATACAGTACCTAGCACAGCTTGTCAAAAGTGTAAAGATGAACAAATACAAGCAATGATTTACTACCCAGGTTGGCCAAAGCTGGCTGCGGTTTGGCACGACTGGCACATAGGAGGCAGGATAGTAGCAGTGGAGAAGATGTTACGGTGGGGTGGTTAGCTAAGTGGTGAGCAGATCAGGATGTTGTGTGTTTACCGAGAATGGACTTTATCCTGTGGGTCAGGTTCTAAAGCCATCTTGATGGAAAACAAGTATGACCTTCTTCTATTTGTAGGGGGTAGGATATGGTTCTAGATGCCCCCACATATAACACTATTTCCTGTTTAAAAGCCCATAGAAATCTGTGCCCTGTCCCACACCATAGCTGGTGGCAGGAAGGTGGTCTTTAAAGGTTGAGTTTTAGTTAAAGATCTTGAAATGGAAGGCATTTACAAATAGTTCCTGTATGCTGGTATACTAACCCTTTGAGATGCCTTCATTCCAGTATCATGGTGCCTTTGAGAAGAGGAATGTTTCTAGAGCCACAAATACATCCATGCTGATACACTGAAAGTTCATCATATGTTGTGTTAGGGTTTTAAAGATATCTCAGTCCTTGTAAAACGTAGTCACACAAAGAAGCAAAGGGAGAATGGAATGGATATATGTTCTGATAATACTGGATACAAGCTGTAACTGATTAAGAGCCGGAAGGGATAAGAGTTTTCCCTGTAGATGGGAGAAGTGCCTACAATTGATGAGTGAGTAGATGTCCAAGAAACACATTGCATCTTTCCCCAGGTCTCTCCCCATGCCCTGAATGAGGTTATAGTTACCATCACTGTTCTGAGGCAAGCATCCCTGACATCCTTTAAGTAGTTAGCAGGTTTCCTCTGGGTGAAAATGGAGCCAGGGGTGGAAAAGGCAAGGGCCCTTAAGGAAGTTGAGGGGGCAAGGTGGTTTTTCTTTAAGACTTACTCTCATGAGGTCTTTAGCATTTTTCTATTTCAAAAAGAAATCTACTCTCTTACCAACAAATAACTCAATATATTTTTTTTTTTTTGGGAAAAACAAGCTTGCATAACATTTTTATCTTTTTTATTTCTTGTGGTGCTGGGATTTGAACCCATGCTTTGGGGAGGGTGGGTAAGTGTTTTGCCACTGAGCTCTTTCCCCACCTTCATTTTCTCTATAATGCCAGCAGTTTGTTAAAATGAAAAAAATTACACAAACCAAACCAACCTCCCACAAACCAAAGTGCAGAAACTGTCAAGTAAAACAAAAAGAATCTGAAAATAAACCAGAACAAATGTTTGAAAACGATAGTGATGAGCAAAGGGGTCAAGACCAGGCTCAAGAAACCCACAGAAACTGCTGACCTGAACAAGGGGGAGCTCATGCACTCCAGTCTGATAGCTGGGAAACCAGCATAGAACCAACCCAGACCCCCCTGAATGTGGGTGTTAGTTAGGAGGACTGGGCAGTCTATGGGGCCTCTGGTAATGAATCAGTATTTATCCCTGGTATACAAATGGACTTTGGGAGCTCATTCCACATAGAGGGATACTCCCCCAGCCTAGACACATGGGGCAGGCCCTAGGCCTTGCTCCAAATGATATGGACAGACTTTGAAGACTCCCCATGGAAGTCTGCTCCCTGAGGAGCAGAAAGGGGATGGGACAGGGGTTGGTGGGGAGAAAAGGGGAGGATGGGAGGGTGTGGGAACTGGGATTGACATGTAAAACAAGCTTGTTTCAAATTTAAATTTAAAAAATTATCAAAAAAAAAAGGAAGACACAAAGGAAGGAAGGAAGGAAGAAAGGAAGGAAGGGAGGAAGGAAGGAAAGAAAGAAAGAAAGAAAGAAAGAAAGAAAGGAAGGAAGGAAGGAAGGAAGGAAGGAAGGAAGGAAACTGCCAGGACAGGGCACATGGAGCTATTTGGTAACCTGGAAGTATCATCTTGGTGTTTACTGAGCAATACCCATGGACCAAACTTTGCAGATTGTAATTCTGTAAATGTCACATGAAGTCTGTTAAACCAGGATGCTGCTCAGCTCAAAAGAGTGTATCTTTTGTAGATTTCCAAATCTTATATCTTAAATATGATGCATGTGGATTATAGTCATAAGGTTGTAGACTTCCCATTATTCGTAGGCATAGATTTTACTTAGTTTTTGTTAAAACAAGTGAGAATTTAAAAGTGTAATATTTTAGTTGAAAGCACACTTCCATGGCAGTGGTGAGCATATGCTGTGCAGACTGCTCTGATGGAGATTTGGAGATAACACCAAGATGGGAAATCTACACCAGAACATGGCAAACTTTTCCTGAAAAGTTCCCACAGTAAAACATTAGTGTTTATCACGACTACTCAACTCTGCCACTGCAGCATGAGAAAATGTGGAGCTATGTAAATATACATTTTCCTAGGCATATGATGGCCACTGGAACTTAAAAGATTACACAATCTTCACATCATGAAATATTGTGCTGATTAAAAACATTTAGAGATGCCAAACCCACTTTTAATTCTTAGGTCCAACAAAAATGGCTGCAGGCAAGACCTGGCCAGGGAGGGTTTATCACTGGCCTAGAACACTGCAGTGGCTAGGCTATTGTGCTCAGGGTTTCTCCACACTCATCAGTCTGAATTTCAAGTAGCTTCTGTCCCTTCTGCAGGTTTTTGTTAATGGAGGACCATTACAAGTGATTGACACCCAGAGAAAAAGGGTCTTTTAATATCTCATCTTATCTAGGCAATTTTTAAAAAAGGTTTATTTCTTAAATACTTAAGAGGACATTGCAGTTTGAGACTACAAAGCTAGATAGGTATGTTTCAAGTCCTTCTACCATTAATTAATCAATCAATGAAAATAGCAAAAATTTAGGGCACTGTACATTTCTTTTTTAATAAACCACAAGGCAAACAACACTTTATTTAATTATCATATAGGAAATTTCATTTGAAAATGGCAAATACAGTACATATACAAAGAATCTGATCTTCATTACACAGATAAACCCCAGCTTCAAAATCTTTCTAAAATCAATCATATGCAAAATACTCAGTTTTTGGAGGGGTGTATAGGAAAGTATATACAATTTCTTAAACCGTGATATGGCTTATTTAATCACCTATTCATTTAGAGAGGCAGACACTTTCCAAATACAAAGTATCTTCTAGGTAGAAAAAGAATACACTGGTATATTCCAACTTTGTGTTGAATTTATTTCAGGAGATTCTTAATAGCACTACTTAAATTGTCACTGTCATGGATTTAGCTGTCAAAGTCTCCAAACACATTTACCAATCTTAACAAAAATCAGAAAATGACTGTTGGTTTCCAACAAACCTTTTGTAACCAAGAACTCAAAACGACTGGCTTGCCTAAATGGAGACATATAATACTGAGGAATTCCCACAATTTCTTCTTTCCAGTTTGCATGCTCCCACTAACATAAAAAAAAAAACAAACCAATATATTTAACTATAAAGTCAAATCTGAAACCCTGGCCTGCAGGATCCATCTGACAGCCCTGGAGTTGGAGTTAGTTTGCAAATGGTGCTCTTACTACTGAGAGGTTAGGCCAACCACCTGGGGTAAGGCTTGCTTCCCCTTAGGCCCCGGTATCTAGTGAGATGTCACTGTCATTTATAAATAAGACAGGATGAACTGATCTTGTATGTAGGCACACATTCTGTAACCTTACTTTTAGTCCACACAAAGTAATCAGCGCAAAAATGCCTAAAACTGTACTTCAAATGAGTTCAGATTCAGTGAGAGCATCTTATGATGGTGAACCAGTGATCATAAACACATAAAGCTGAAGGGTGTGCTGCAAGATCAAAATCTCCAAGAGCCATGACTGGCTTTTGAGAAACCCAAAGCCCTTCACAGTGGCTACTCAGTCTATTTCTGTCTCATGCTCTACTAAGTACAGCGTGCAGAAATCTAGGCAGGGGATGATCTTCAGTTTTAAAGACCTTTCTCGCCTGGAAAGACATTTCTAAGTACTGCCTCAAAGCGCTCTCTGAAAAATAAAGAGAAGTTGTGCATCAACTATGTCCACTCTGGGAAGGACTGCCTAAAGACAAACACTGACAGGTGGGCCACCTGGGCTGAAGACAGGCTACTGAGAGTCTTATAACAGAAAATACTTCAGAGAGAAGAAATAAAGCCCTTACCCCAAACTGAAAAGAAACAAAGCCCTACCTCAAACCGAAAAGAAACACAGTAACCTAAGAAATCCAGTGACCAGCAAACAATGCTGATGGGAGCTGTGAAAATCTCCAATCACATCAAGACCTGTAAGCATGGAAACAACACAGCTGTGTGCAAGAGTTACAATAGATCTGGGTTCTACCAAGTGTGTCTTACTCATTGCATTCTCATTATGCTTGTTAAGGCAGCAAGAGCATTAGTCAAAGTCTACCTAAAACAAAAGACTGCAGGGAACCAGAGCTGTAAAGCACAGGCTAATGCCTACAGTCACCGATTATCTGCAAATATTCGTTAGAATATACTGCAATGGAGAATTGCCAAGTTTTTATGTTGTGATGTTTCCCAGTGCAAAATTAGTACTGCATCTCTCTGATTCAGACCCTGTTTTTCACAGAGCAAAGACTTCCAACAGCTCAGCTGAGAATCTGCGCCACTGTACATTGGGCTCAACAGGTGAAGGACAGACCAAACCCCACAGCTGTGTCGTCCCTGCAGTAACTGCTCAGTTAACGCCCTTCTCTGCTGGTTCTGACAAGTTAACTAGTAAAATCTCTCAGTTCTTCTCCATCTTGTGGGCCAGTAAAGTACAGAGTCTAGCTCTTGCTGCAAAAGTAAAGCACAGAAATGCTGGGTATACCCGCTTTAAGCAGAATGTGATAAAAAGTTTTCAGTGTTTCTGTGTTTCATAAAAACAACCCTTTTCAACATTCAAACTGATTTTTAGGATGTTTTTATCAAAAAAACGTAAGGAATCAGTCAATATGAAAACCTACATATACTCACATTGTGATAAAGGATGATTACAAGAAATAAACTTAATTGACATGGGAAAATATTAAATAAAATGTACATTTTCCCTTTTTTTTCCTAGATACCTAAAGGCCACAAATGCCCAGGAAGCCACTTAAATGCCTGTCATTAGTCATGTGGTTATAGTTGTTTTATTTAGTTTATATTCTAAGTTTTGAAATTTAAGCTCACAATAAAATTCAACAAAGTAAACTTTTTCTTTTTTTTTTTTCTCAAAGAAAACTTTGAATTTAAGAACTCAACAAACACTACTGGGTTTTATTAGGTAACATGAGCTGGTTTTTTTTTTTTTTTTTTTTTTTTTTTTAATACTATCAATTCCAACAACCTTAGGGGTAAATCATCTAGATTTTCTTATTTTAGATTTACACATAGAGAAAGTCTGCAGTATGAAGATAACACCTATTTTTACTCTCAATTTACACATCATTTAGGTTCCTAGGATTTAAATTCACAATGTGCTTGGGACATTGTTACTCCACTCTGATTCACTGAGGAGCCACGAGCCATATAAAGTGTCTGTGCTGAAAAGAGCTCATCTCAAATCAACTGTTGAATATTCAAATATGAATATTCACAACTGTCTCTTCAACAGACTTCTGCCAATTATGTTCCCTTAGCTTGTAAATACTTACGCCATTTCTCTAGATATAGCTTTCATGGCCATCCTTACTTTAGTTCTCTTGTGCCCATACATAGTTAAAAACAAAACAAAATCCTTCACCTCTTGTTTTCTCAAAGTAATTTTTCCACCCAACCCTTTCTGCTATGGCATTATTGTGAAACTTCAAGACTGTACTTTGGGGATTTCTGTAATGCATGGAGAACCCCCCTAATCCATATCATAAAACAGAAATTCTCTCTAGAAAGGGTGCTTTGCATGATAGGCATTAATAAACCCAGGTATCTCTATAGGAACCTGAAATATGCATAAAGATTACACATGAGAACAGGGCACCAAGGAAACTGTTACTAACAAATGCTGGCAGTTCTTTAAAGGACAGTGGATAACTACTGAAGCTTTGTCATCTTACTGTCATTAAGACAATCACAAAAGTGATTTTCAGGGAAGATAGAAATCCAAAACTTCACATGCCACTGCTTGCTCCTCTGTTTTAGATAATTATTTAGTAAGGTAACTTGAGGTTAAATCTAATATCTGCCATTTAGAGTTATATTAAAAATTTCCTAAATAATTTAATGACAGTGACCACATTATGTGAATATTTCTGATGAGATTACAAATAATCAAAACACTGAGATTCAAAACCAGTACTATCTGGAAAATTTGCTTATAAAGTATGACTAATAATATTAGGAGTTATTTATGAAATAAAACAGTTCTGAAACACTTAGGAATACATGCTTATTCCATTTTCTGGATATTATTACTTTCTGAAATCTGTTGGGGGCTAATTTTTATTAAAAGAGAATACAATTCCAGAAACTAGATGCCAAGATTACACAGAGACAAAAGTCCCAAATAATTCAACACTGAGTTTGCTAGCACTGACTTCATATAAAAGGACTGTAAAAAGTAGTTTTAGATGCAAATACTGAATTCTGAGTCTTCCTGTACATCTTGTGTATTCTGTCAAATTAATGAAGTATGCTCTTGGATTGTCTTCTATGAGGTATCTGCAGAGTTACAGCTCACTCTGTAAACAGTACTTTGGAAACTTCATCTGAAAATCATGCAGTTATCAGTCACACCATGTGACTGTGAGAGACGGTGCTTGATGTGGACACAACTGTCAGGGACTCTATTAGGTTTGCATTTATTGCTCTCAAGTCTGTGACTGCAGGATAAATAAGGCTGTAGACCCCAAGTACACAGAATCAGGTACTGGAATTCTGACAATTTGCACAAGTTCTGTTCATTTCTTGTCTGTAACTCTGGAGCTGAATGGTGCATTTATACATGCCAAATGTGTTCAGTAATAAATGCTTAGCTTTGGACTGCACTTCTTCCCATTTAGATGAACTCCCAGGAACTGCAATATCAAGAAAATACCACATTATCTATTGTACACTGCTATACATTAGTAAATGAGATACAGAGAAGAAACAACCATGCTTTGTGACCGTGTGTGCATCAGTCTGACTCCCCGCTTTAAGTCCTTCTTCTGTAGAAGACAGTTTGTAAGCCCAGAATGGTTTCTCATGACCTCAGTCATTCCATGTTCAGTAGAGAGAATGCTCAATACAAGCCTCTTGTTTATGGACCTTATACTCCTTAAGAAAGAGCCAAATGAATATGTTATTTTGATTTTTAAAAGCCATCAGTCTCTGAAATGATTTAAACAAGAGTCTGGCTTTTTATTATATGAAATATGGTGCAGCAAAAGTATGTAATGTCTTTAATAGGCAGATATCAATTTGTGATATCTTTCTCAAAATACAAAAAATTAAATGTTATTATTTATTTATTTTTTTGGAGTTCTGGGAATTGAACATAGGGCCTCATGCATGGAAGGACAAGGGATCTACCACTGAACAATCTTCCCAGCCTCTGTTATTCTTTAAACCTGCAATTTTGAAGAGTCTCACCCTCCCTTAAGTCTTTTTGTCAGAAATGTCTTCATACATATAATAAGCCTCAGATGTTGGCTCCAAAAGCAGACACCCGTGAACCCCATTAGCAACATACTTAGCTGCATGTGAACTATGGCAGTGGATTTTCCTGAAGTGAGAGACCAGATATTCAAATCTTCCACAGAATATACATCTTCTATTTTCATCAATGACTCTTTGATATAATCTACATTCAAGTGGCTTGGTACACCTATTAGTTTGAAACATAATTTGTAAGTTTACTTTGGTAGGAAAAGTTTTGTATTACATTTAAAGAATATGAATGGTTTTGATAAATTCAGTTCCAATGGATTCGTTAAGCTATGTTTATGTTTTAACATAAATTACAGACATTCTCATAAAATATAGAAAATATACAAGAGATCAGTAAATGCTTTAAAATGTCAATTCTAACTAAAACAGAGTGGCAATGAAGTTAGAACACTTAACATTAATAAGTTAGGCTAGAAAAAAATTTTTTTCAACATGGTTTCACTCTGTAGCCCTGGCTGGCCTGGACTTCCCCTTGGGCAGATCAGGTTGATACTCACAGAGACCCATTTGCCTCTGAGTCCTGAGTGCTGGGATTACAGGCACGTGCCACTATGCCCATCTTAGAAACATTGGATACTGGTAAGTTATTGCTGAGAACTTTTGTCTTCATGTTTAGAAATGCTTTCAGGAAGATAGGGATGTCAAAAATACAACAAAGTACAAATTAAATGAGATGAAGGAATTAAATAAACCAGAAGGTATAAATGCATTAAGAATCAAAAGCTGCACTCTTATCCTCGCTTTACAGTTTATTAGTGCATGCCACTGTCAAACATTTTCTTGTTTGTAAATGTCAATTCCTTCAACTATCTGTTTTACCTACTGTAAGAGTCAAGTGCATGAATGACCCAAGGATTGCACTGCTTCTATGTATCAATAGAACACGGTCATGGTTTCTGTCCAGAGAAATCCTGTCAGTTTCTACTAGGGAGGGCTAAACCCACAGTGGGACATTAACGAGCGCTTACCTTCCAGTATTATCACTACTGTGTCCCATATGATGCGAAATGTTGTGAAAGCCACAAGTAATGAAAATACATATGTACAGATGGGATCAGCAATCTTGTATTCTGGCTAAAAGGCAAACAGATGAAAGTTGTGTGACTAAACAGAGACTGACATTGCAGCACACTATAAAGTAATCACGGCGCACATCCCCTGCTCTTTATCTTTCGTTAACAACATTGGAAAACACTTTTAAAGCTTGGATACTGTAATTGAGGAATATCCTCACTCTTTAGATTGTGTCTTTTCTGGAAATTTGGTCATTATGTCTACTTTCTGTGCCTTCTCTCAATCCTTTACTCAGAAGTAAAATATACTGATGCTGGAAAGAATTGTATCAGCCATCTGGATTAAAATAATCATTGAAGCGGGCACAATAAAAATTTAGAGTTGCTGCAAAGATGAGAACCTCAGCATACAGCCTATTGTGCAGTGCTTCGGTGACAAGGTTGAACACTGAGTTTTACAGTGCTATCAAAGCCAGCTACAGATAAATCAGGTAGTAAGGTGACATCATTGTGCTTACTAAGTAACTATACTAATGGCCAATTAATTCTATGCCAGTGAAAAATGAATAGAAAGACATTAGTGTCTAGTACACGGATAAAAGACAACTAGCTTTTTAAACAACCATTAAGTACTTTCGAAGTAGGAAGTGAACTATTTTACCTTGAATCGTATGATGTATGCAGCTATAAGCACACCCACACTCTGTACCAAATCACCCAGGGCATGTACAAATGCAGCTCTCACTGCCAAGCTGTCCTGCCCATGGCTGTGTCCACTAGATACCATGGTGGGAGAATTTGAAGGCAGGGAGTGGGAATGGGAGTGGGAATGGTGGTGACCGGACTGGTTCAACAGAAACCCCATTCTGTTAAAAATGAAAGAGAACATATTATTTCCCTAGAATTATTGATGAAACATTTATTACTGCTCAGTAGACAGTAATGGAGCAATGCAGAACAGTCATTTAATAAGGATGAAAGCAACCATTACACAGCAAATATTGTTTTGATGGGACATCAGAAGTGTAAGCAAATAGTCATTGTCACACAGCCAGTTAATGGGAAATGCCTTGGAGATGTATACAGCTTTGTAGAAGTACGGAAGACGAGTGGCCAGGTGATGGGATAGGTGGATGGGGTGTGCACAGAAGAGCTCTCTCAGACTCCACTTGAGAAGAGACTCACAGAAGTCAAGAGCAGATGGCAGATGCGTATTCTAGGAAGAACAGCAGGCAAAGGCTTAAAATGAAAATGTGCTCCATGTACTTGAAAAAGGATAACATTGTGGCCAAAATACAGAAAGTAAGAAGTGGTAAGAGGCTAATTGGAGGGCTACACAGGGTTTTATTTTATTTTTTTAAGAATTCTGGTTTTTATTCTAACTTTGAATAGAATCCATTAGACAGTGATTTGTAAACTAAGGCCACTAGGCCCTATTTGGCTATTTTAGTTTTTAAAGATGAGGATTTACTAGAACACAGGCCTACATACTTCTTCACACAATGAATGTGGCTGTTTTTGTTAACATCAGGGTTCCATCACTTCACATGAAACTGTGTAACTCTCAAAGATTCACGTACTGGCCTTTCTGTTGTTTTAGAAGTGTGGGAATCAATCCAGGGCTTCATGCAGGCTAAGGAGTGCTCTGTCACTAAGCTCCATCCATATCCCCCATCTATTCTTTAAAGAAAGTCTGGTTGCTAACTTCTGCTCTAAATGGTTAAGTATATAAGATGTCTCAGTAATTTTGAGGAGGAAAAAAAAATGATTTTAAAAACAGCTAACAGACTGGCAAGGTGGCTCAGCAGGTAAAGGCACTCACAGGTAAGGTCTGACAGCCTGAACTTGAGTCCTGGAACCCACATAGTCAAAGGAGAGAAATGATTCCCATAAGTTGTCCTCTGACCTCCAAATGTGTGACCTCTCACACACAAATAAATGTAAAAAAACCCTTAAAATGTAGCTAATACAAAATTATTAAATATTAAACAACATACTTGGTTCTACTTAACTTCTTTTGTGCTAAACATGTGGCAAAGTTAATGAGTTTATAATGCTCCATTTTATTATACTTACAAGTAAAATTGATGTACTATATTTTTAAATATGAAAATATTTTTATGGTCTGAATAAATGAATGTACAACAGTCTTTTAGCTTATAGTATATGAAAAAATATTGTGCTTACATTACATTAACTGCAACTCCAACAGCTGCAGTGATGAGCATGATATCACCATTAATTTCATAGTTCATATGGATCGTTCTCTGCACAGCTTCATATAAGAGGAATCCCATAAGGACATACACCAACATCACACTGATCATAGCTGACAAAACCTCTAGAAGGGAAGACAGAAAATATGTATCTTCAGTACAGCTATTATAGTTCATACCATACACTAAACAGTGTTCAGTTTTCTACTTACATTTTCTGTCCTCTGAGGAGGTAAAAGCACTGTTACTTTTGTTATACAACATTGTCTTTAAGTATTTCACAGGTTGAATACTCTAGACCCTTAATTCATCTCCATCCTTTATTCATGTCTTAAATATGTATATTTACAGACTATTCACAAGGTAAAACTGATAAAGAAATAGAAATGTGACTACAGACTACTTTTCTAACAAAGTAAGAACACTTAAAAGCATAACTACAGGCTTGCAATGGAGCTCAGCATGCATAAAGTCCTGGGTGGTCTCTAGCTTGACTCAAGTCTGGTAGTACATTTGTAATCCCATCACTGATGAGGTAAGGTCAAATGGATCAGAAATTCAGTCATCATCCTCAGCTATATTGATTTTGAGGCCAGCCTGGGATATAGGAGAGCTGGTCTTAACAGCACAACAACAAAATAAATAACCTATAAGAAAAATGGGTAAGGAAAAAAAATTTAAAAAGCGGTAAAGAAATGAAGAGTAATTTGTCATAGAAAGAAATGGAAAAATTCTCAATTAACAAATGTAATAAAAGAAAACTGTATTTTATTACTTTATATAGGCATTTTGCCTGCATGGATGTCCATGTACCATGTGTATACAGGTGCCTACAGAGGCCATAAGAGGACATGGGATCCTGTGACTGGAGTTACAGACAGCTGTGAGCTGCCATGTGGGTGCTTGGGTTCTCTGGAAGAGTAGCCAGTGCTCTTAACCACTTAGCAATCTCTCTAGCTCCTCAAAATTCTTATACCCTTGTTAAGTTGGCAAAGAAATTTAAGACTGATAATTTCTAAAAATTAGCAGGGATACTAATGGAAATATTAAATGCTTTAATTTTTTGAGAGACAATTAGTAAAATTAATCAAAATTTAAAATGCATATATTTCTTAATCTAGCAATTTTACTAGCAGGAAAGAACATGTGTCCCAAGAAATGTAGAGGGCTTTGCTTTGTAACACATACCTGAAGACACGCTAAATGTATATCCAACAGGAACTTAAAGGGTTAAGTATTATATACACAGTGAGGATACCAGACACCTACTTACAATAATTAAAAGTGAAGTATTATATATATAGTAGAGATACCAGATATCTACTTATCTACTGTAAAAGAAAAATGGATAACAAGAAAAACAAAAATCAGGCAAATTAATGATTATAAGACAGAGAAGAAAGCATATATCTGGGAAGTGGAATGAACCAGGGATTTAGGGGAATTTTTTCATTTTATTTTTTTTTGGTAGTGTTTGAAATTTAAATTTTTTTTAACCACAAACATTAAAATTATACTAAAGAAAATCTGATGATTTATATTTAAGAAGCACAAGACACAGATTATATTACCTGATTTAAAATACTAATTAAGTAATATGATTGGTTATTCTGAAAACAAAAAAGTTCTTTTACTATGGATAAATAATGGTTTGGAGAAATGCCAGGAATAGTGACAATTACTCCTTAAAAAAAAAAATCTCTCTCTTTTTTTTTAAATTAAGGTGACAGGATGCAAATTGCAGTGGTTTGGAAGAAAATGGCCCTCAAAGGGAGTGGCACTATTAGAAAGTGTGGCCTTGTTGGAGGAAATCTGTCACTGTGGAGGGGGCTTTGAGGTCTTATATATGTCCAAGACACACCCAGTGTCTCAGACCACTTCCTGTTGCCTGCCAGCGAGATGTGTCCTGGGCAGCATTTGGCTATATAGCACTAATACTAGATAGTTTGTTGTTTTATCCCCTGATGTTAGAAGAACAGAAAGCATTCGGTTAAAACCTTCCTTCATACAAGCAGCCAAAAACAACAACAAAAAAGCCCTTCTACAAAGTTATGGTTCATTTTTAACAGCTTCCTCTTACCCATTAAAAAATCCATCTCTTTTATTATTCACATAATTTTGCAAATTTAGTCAGATCACATGAACTCTTATAGGAAAAGAATTGAGTTTTAGAACTTGCTAGAAATGGGAGTTTAAATTGAGGAATAAGGAAGACATGAATGAAGTCATCAACATTAGGTAACCATAAGTCAGCCTGAACGTGGCTGGTACTGTAGGTGGTGTAAGGAGTGATAAGCTTATAGTAAGCTGTGTGACCAGAGACTGACCCAAAACAAGACTAAGACATCTGGAGTAGGTCATAGTCCCATCATCGCATGGCTGACTGAACTCTTCCTGGAAAGCAAACTTAACCTGTTTTTGTGTCTTAGGCTCTGACTGTGATCTCTGCTCAGCAAGCATTCTGAACAACTTCTATGGTCTTGCTATTAGCATTGGCTGAGTGAGGATTTAAGTGATCACATCACACACTGCTTCCTACTACCCACACAAACACTCTGCTTACTATAGTGCCATCCCTGAAGATCTGGAAGAAATACCATATAAACCAAGACAATCCTTAAGGTAATTCACAGAGAGGCAGAAAGGAAGAAAGGAGATGGCCCCCTTGGAAGAGAATATTTTTCCTCTTGAGGATTTGAAATTTCTTTCAGCATGGTTTCATTAAATTCCAAGTTTTATTAGCTCTCAGAGTAAAGAGACATGGCCACATCAAATAAATCTAGACATTTAAAAACAACACGCAAGGCTTCAGCCCTCCCTCCTTCTCCCCACATAAAGCTGCTTCTGTAGCTCACTGTAAATAAATAAAAAAAAACCCAGAATGATTTCATACCATCCACAGCTTTACCTGAAAGAAAAGAAAAACAGCAGCAAGTTAAGAGACTGTGCTGGCAGCTCTAAGAGTACAGGGTGATTAGCTCTCCTATTCATTTCCTCAGCCCTCAGCATTTCTTATCTACTAAGAACCACAAATTCTGTTTATCTCAGAATGAGGATTCTAAACAAATTATGATAAAAATTAGGAAAACATTTTCAAGACTGGATATTCCAAAGAGTTATATTGGCCTTTCTGCATGCATGCATATCTGCTACACAGAAGCCTTGAATTCATTTTAACTGTTTTTCAGAGAAAAATTGATGCTGATTAAATTAAGAATGATGATTCCTGAGTGCTTTCCAGAGAGTAATGGACTTACTGCCCATAATAACTCCTTTACAAACAGAAAATGGAGGCACAAAGATGTTACAGAACTTGCCTAAGGTCAGACTGGTAGGAAGTGAGACAGCCAGGATTTTAATAAAGTGATTGGTTTCTCTGTTGAGTCTCATGGATGTTTGAAAATCCAATTAAAAGGCTGTAGTCAGCTGGGCATGGTGGCTCATGCCTTTAATCCCAGCACTCAGGAGGCAGAGGCAGGTTAATCTCTGAGTTCAAGGACAGCCTGTTCTGCAAAGTGAGTTCCAGGACAGCCAGAACTACAAAGAGAAATCCTGTCTCAAAAAAAAAAAAAAGGAAAAAAGCTATAACCAACGGATCATAATTGTGTGTCTGTATATGCGTATACATATGAAACCAAGATGACTGCTAAAACCAGAGGCAGCTGATCACTCTGGGGCTGAAGTTACAGGCAGCTGTTATCTGGGAACTGAAACTTGTTAGAGAGCAGTACATTAGGGCTGGAGCAAAGGCATACTAATAAGAGAACTGGCTGCTCTTCCGGGGGACCTGGGTTCAATTCCCAGTATCCACATGGTGGCCCAGAACTAGCTGTAACTCCAGCTCCAGGAGATCTTATGCCTTCTTTGACCTCCCTGAGTATGCAAATGGTAGACAGACATGCATGCATGCAAAATCCCATAAATATAAAATTAAAGTAAGTCTAAAAGTCAAAATATAACCAAAGTATATCTTTATTTAAAGATAAAATAAAATTTAAGAAGCATGTGCTCTTAACAGAGACATCTTTCCAAGCTCCAGAAAATGTGATCTCTAAGAGTGGAAAATATCTACACAACAGAACTAAAATGACAATTACAACTAAACTGTTGTAGAATATTAAAGATGTGTTACATTTGTTTATGCTGTGGAATATTTATTTAATGGTGCAAAGTTGTGTTGCATTCTTTTATGTTGCATTTGTTTAACTGTGAAGCTGTGTTACTGTGCCTGCCTAAAACACCTGACTGGTCTAATAAAGAGCTGAACGTTCAAAAGCTAGGTAGGAGAGGGACAGATGGAGCTCCCAGGCAGAGAGAATAAATAGAGGGAGAAAAAGAGAAGAGGGAGGATTGAGAAAAGAAGAAGGAGAGGAGGATGCCAGGGGCCAGCCACCCAGTCAGACATGAAGCAAGAAGGAAAGAAATGATATACAGAAATAAAGAAGGGTAGAAGCCCAGAGGCAAAAGGTAGCTGGGATAATTAAGTCAAGAAAAGCTGGCAAGAAATAAGCCAAGCTAAGGCCAGGCATTCATAGGAAAGAATAAGTCTCCGTGGGTGGCAGGTCCCCCAAAGAGTAAAGAGTAAGCAAAACAAAACAAAAAACCCAACTACATTAAACCATGTTGATCAACCATGTTGATATTTACTACTGTCAGACAATGTTTGATTTGGTTCTTGGTACAGTGCTAATTTCTAATAACTACAGTCCTATTTTCTGCTTCCTTATGTAGACTCTCAAGGCAATAGCCAGTGTTTAGTCCTTTATTAAAAAAGTCAAAGAATGTTATTTTGATCTCAATTCTTTAATGTGCATTATTAAGTGCTGAGCTTTTCAAACCAGAAAGTTCTTAATTTTGGAGTTCTTTACAAATATCTATTGATATGGTCCTTCATAGAATAATTCAAATAGTTATTTTATGTATTTTTGAAATAAATTATGAAAGTATTTGTGGAATTACATTGATATAATATAAGTCAGTCACATAATATTTTGTACATATGATGAAAATGCTTAATATATGGCTTCAGTTGAAATTCTTGAAGTACAAAGAAGCAGCAAATGCTCATTAGCGAGTGACCCAGATGGTTTTGCTAGGTTCAATAAACTGGAACTATGCCTCCTTACGATGGCATCTTTAAAAACAAGGAAGACATGAGCACTGTAACCACACAGTTCTGTGCTACTTAGGGAAGCCTGAGTGGGATGCTCCATGGAAGACAGCTTTGTAGATAAGTCTCATTACTTATTTTCCTTTGCTGTGTTCAACTCCATTACCTTAAAGATTTCAGTTAATCAGGGTCATAGTTCATTATAGCTTTAAAATATTATAAGCCAAAAGAAACTTATTTTACCTACCTAGGCGATGAAATCCAAAGGTGAATCTTCTGGTTGGTGACTTTGAGGACAGCCACAAAGCAAGCAAAGTGAGTATAATGGCACTAAGGTCGGTTAGCATATGAAGTGCATCTGTCATAATAGCTAAGCTATTTGCGATGTATCCACCTGGGAGAAAGGAAAGGAAGATTAACTAAAAAGGTGTGAACAATCAAACTTGAAATGTACAACACCCTACAAAACACAATGTTAGATAAATTTCTATCCCGATACAGCTAAATCAAAGTATTCTAAAATTTCATGCAAATAGTATATATGTCATATCTTTCAATTTATATGGGGATGGTTCCAGAACCCCTTTGGGTATCAAAATCTGTTCCTGTTCAAGTATCTTATATAAAGTGGTATATTTGCATAAAGCCTTACATATAAACCTACACATAGTTTATATTATTTCTAGGTTACCAAAACCATCTAATACAATGTAATTATTATACTGTACTATTTACGGAAATACTGTAAGTCTGTACATATCCTATACAGACACATTTTTTCAAATATTTTCCATCCATGAGTAGCTGAAACCTGTGGATATGCAACTTGTGGGAATAGAGGGCTCACTGCACAAATTTCTGGCAAATAACCACATTCCTATTAACAGGCTCTCCAAAGGGTTAATTACTTCAAAAAGTTAACCATTAGTTTGGCAATAAAAACAAAAGAGGGATGGCAAGTTTTGCTCAACTTACTGAAATTCTATGAATATGGAGAGTTAATAACTACATTATCTGAATACCACAACAAAGCAGGAAAAACATGTTTTCTTTTATTCAAGAAGCATTGAACATGAAATGACATTAAAGAATTCTATAAAGTGCATACTGGTTGAGCCAAAGGGTAAAAATTAGCTTAGCTTATACTTTTGAATACAGATAGCAACCTTTGAAGAGAGAAACAGAAAATGATACTTAGAAAATAGGTTGTAATCAATGGTATAGGATTAGTATGGTGTGTGTGTGTGTGTGTGTGTGTGTGTGTGTGTGTGTATTAGAGCTTGAATGTCTCCACCACAACTCATATTGATGTTTCATCTCTATTATGAGGTATTAAGAGTTTGCAAGTTTAAACTGACCATTGGGAGGTAAAGTTAAATGAGACCCCATTCAACAGGACTGTGACTTTATAGGAAGAAGAGATCTAAATGAGGAAATCTTTCTTAACATGTGACCCCTCAATACTACTTTGAGACTGAAAGGACCTCAACAAATGCAGCCTCTAGATCTTGAATTTCCTAGTCTTCAGAAACACAAGCTGAATAAACTTTTCTGCTTTATAAACTATTTAGTCTGTGGGTATTCAGTTACGGCAACATAAGATAATCTATATTACGGCTTGAAATCTGTGATTTCAGGTATCCATTAGGAATCTTGAAATATGGATAAGTGGGGGGACAATCACACAAGTGTTGCATGTGTGTATGTATATTATCATACATACTTTTTCTTTTTTCTCCTATTATTAATTTTATTCTATTTTGGAAGAGTAGAATAATAACTCATTTTCTTTCCCTTTTTGGAGATAGGGTCTTACTATGTAGCTCTGGCTGGCCTGGAACTCACTATGTAGATCAAGGTGGCCTTAAACTCAGAGATCTGCCTGCCTCTGCCCCTCAAGCACTGATATACAATATGCACCACCATGGCTGTGTCTCATTCTCTAAATTTTCTATGAGTTTTTGTTTTATTGTTTGTGCTCAAGTTCCTTTTAGGCTTTTACTGTTCAACAGGGTTCCCCCCAGCCCAATTTTCTTTTGTAGAACCTGTTCTTTTCTAGACATATGACCTTATCTCTGAGTATACTAATTATGATTATAGCTGGTTCTTAAAATAGGTTTTTCACTAGCTTTCCTTATTTTAACCTTAGAGGCACCTGGCATGGCCCAGTCTGGCCTACTCAGGATGCTCTAGTGTGGTAGTCTCATATATGGGTCCTGTGGCGGTAGCATCAGCATTCCCTGGGTTCCAATAAAAACACAAGTGATGGCCAGGCATAGTGGAGAACAACTTTAATAGCAGCATTCAGGAAGTAAAGGCAGGTACATTCTTGTGAGTGTGAAACCAGCCTGGTTTACATAGTGAGTTCCAGGCCTGCCAGGGCTACACAGTAGCAAGACTGTCTCAAAATACATACATGCATATATGCTCTGGCTTTATCCCAAGCTTCTCTTATTTGAACTTCTGAGGGTGGGAATCAGTACTTTCGGTTTTAACAAGTTCTCTTCATGACTGTGATATACAGCAAAGCCCGAGGCCCACTACTGCAGTGTAACCTAGGTTGGTACTCAGATGAGGTGTGGGCTATCTTGAGTGTAGTAAGCCAGTTAACTCTGTTTCTTTTTCAGTTTCCAATTTTTTTTTGTTATTTTTCTCTTCTTTAGTTTTTTACCATCTGTGTGTTTTTATCTCTTCCCCCAGGAATCCAAATCCCTTTAATTCAGTTAAAGAGATACTTTGAGACAGGGAAAAATTAAATACACCAGTTCTTTATCTAAAAGTCAGTGTGTGTATATCTTTATGTATTTTTAGGTGCAATAAAAACTTGTAAAATACTGATTTTTTTCTGTTACTAAGTCCAAAGGATATCTTAGTTTTCATCTAAGAAGATCTCTTATTTTCTCTTCGAAATACAGTAGTCCTCCTCACCCTATGTATTCCAAGATTCTCACTGGACAGCTGGAATCTTGGATAGTACCAAATATTGTATATGTTTTTCATACACATACTAACCTAAGATAAAGTTTAAACTGTTAGTTAGGTACAATAAGAACTAACACAACAGATAATAATAAAACAGGACAGCTATAACAATACACCATAAAAAGTTATATGTGGACACATTAGACAAAGGGATGATTTATATCCGGGGCAAGATGGAGAAGGACTCTGAAATCCCATGCAACAGTGAACAGCTTAAAAGATAGATTATTTAGTTCTTGAATTTTCCATTTAATAACTTTGGATATGGCAGTTGTAATCAATTAAAACTGTAGAAAGTGGCATCAACGATAAGGGAGGGGGGACTGAAGTAGTTCATTTCCTTGGATTTTGAGATACCTGTTTGCCTCTCTAAAGTTGAAGTTCCTCAAGACAAGGGTTGTAGGTAATTCTGCCTTTTCTGGGGACATCATGTACCTTGCTGGCCTGTCTTCTAAAGCACAGGCTTGTGTTTAAAAGCCCACCAGACATTTCCACTTGTCTGCATAAGCATGCAAACAAACATGTTTAGGCAGCCTTACTCTGCACTCTCTTTCTACTTCATAAGTGACGTTCCCCCTGTATCCAACCCGTGAGAGAGAAACTCAAGATCATTACTGATCTGCTCTCTCCTCAACTCCCATGTCCAGATCAGTCAGTTCTGTGAACCTTCCCTCAGACTGTCTCTTGAGGTATATTTTTCTGCATCTACTCAGGCTTCTTTCTAGTCAGCATCTGTCTGTCTGCTCCCATTTTTGCACCCCCATTCTTTTCATCACAGAACATCCTCGGTGATCTTTTAAAAAGTCACTATCCTATGTAAAGCCCTTCACTGGCTTCTCATTGTACTTAGAACACAAAATGCACTCAATCAATATGGTCTACCAGGACTTGTTTATCTGATCCTCCTGCCTCCTTCCTTTATGCCTACTATACACCAGTCACACCAGTCTTCTGTCAGTTTCTTAAAAGAACTGGAAGCTTTGGAAGCTTTGCACATGCTTGGATGATTCCTAATGTCCTTTTTGTTGTTGGTTTTAAATGCTCCCATACCATGCAAAAACTATATCCCACTGGGTAATATGTCTATTTCTTTTCTTCATAGCATTTAAGAATATCCGAATTTATAATTTAATCACCTGGTTATTCATTTAATGTTTGTCTCCTACATTAGATCAAGAACTAAAGATAATAAAAACAGTTTTGCTCTTCATTAGATATCCAGAACATGCTGGACAATGTACCAAACCAACATGTAGGTGCTCAGAAAATATCTGTTGAATGGAAGGGAGGAAAGACAGGTTCAATGTCTTGAGCAAGTCAGAGGCAAATCTACATTCAAAATTTTCCCCTCTCAAATCTTTAGATGATTTTTTATTGGCTTATACTTCCTAGATAAGATGCTTTATTTCTAAGCTCTCTGGACACATTTTAATAAGCACTACACTAAATCTAAGTCTGGATAACATTCCGAGCACTACAGTTCCTATCATTTCTGTATTATTAACAAAAGATTCTATGTTTGGATATTAAGTCAGTTTTGGAAAGGAAATACTTATTGTGGCTTTTGCAAAATATTTCCCAAGTAAGAGACTCTGAAAATGAGAAGTCGGGACAATTAAATATTAAATTTTACTTAAGTTAAATTACATCTAAATAAATTTTGAGGGGGAAAATTATGATTAACATGACTAACTTCGAAGACTCACAATCAGCTTCAAAACCCACTAAGTCTGAATGGTATTTCAGTTGCCTGAGTTTGAGAAAGTCCCTGGAACATAGACTGCTGAAGTGAGGAGATCATGTTCTGACTACAGCTTACCATCTCTGCATTTCATAGTTTATACTTTCATAATTCTCTAACAGAATTAATAATTCAGGGTGCTTGGCCCTAGACGGAACATCTGTATTACCTCCTCTGAGGCTTAGGGAGCATGTGGAAGAGGGGGCGGAAAAGCGTTCAGAGCTGGAGGATGGGGAGATGTGCCACAAAAAGATGTGTTCTGTATACGACATAGCCATTGCACTCATGGACTTGGTGCCACCATGGTTCCTTAATTAAGAACTGCAATTAAACTGGGCCTGTCAATATTTCATCTGGGAAGAGAGAGGGTTTCACTTCTCCCTGAGGTACTAACTAACAACTAATGGTTTCTGGGGAAGAGGGTGTCGCTTTCTTCAGAGGTGCACTCAATGATAAGTTGCCTACGCTTCATAAGTTAGCTTTTCTCCAATGCACACACAAACAGTTCCCATTAAAGTCAGTGAGTGTGTCACATACTCCCCAAAAGATACAGAAGTGGGAGCCTTGTTGGGAAGGTTCCCAGTGGTAAAGGGAGGTGTTATAAAAGAGAATGGCTGTGTATAATAATTAAAATGTATTGTAAATAATATAAAACATCAAAGGATTTTAAAAATATAATAAAAAACTCAACAAAAGTTTATTTACTGTGTCTCATTTGTATCATTCACTGTTTGAGGTCAGTCAGATAGTATTTCAGAAAAGGAATACTAAACAAATAACAGGCATATAAAGAGAGTTAAAGTGGGAAAATAAGACAACAGAGGTTTATTCCAGACAATCAAAAGAAAAATAAAGGGCTTTCAGAGGTGTCTTTTGAAATGAGATATGACTAACACACTAGCCAAGGGACGATCTGGGAAAAGGAAAGAATATAAAAGCTGAGGTCAGAGGCTGGAGAGACAGCTAGTTGTTAGGAGTGCTTGCTACTCTTGTTCTGGTTCCCTGCACCCACACCAGGAAGTTCACAACCACTTGTAACTCAGCTCCAGGGGATCTGAAGCCTCTGCCTCTAGGCACCTGCACTCACTCACCCTCCCCACACAAACATGTAGTTAAAATTAAGTGGACATTTTTTAAAAGGCTGGAAGATGGGTGGTGTGCCTTATCAAGCCTTCTAGTGAGCCACAGACAAATGACAGAAGACATTAGAACATAGCATATAAACTTTTTGTTCGCTCTGTACATATTTATACTCTTATCTGTGGATATGTACATACCTAAGTTTGCATGTGTAGTTTTTTTTATTATAGTGTATTTCTTATTAGTGAAGTCAGCAAACGCTTGAAGAACATTGGGGGATCAACTGGTTATAAATGCCATAAGGGCAGGAGAAAGGGAGCCCTGAGATAAGAAAGATGATCATTACAGGTGAGTTCCCACTGAGGAAGAATGATATGGCATGAGGTGGGGGACAAGCATGAACTTCATCACACAGCTTCCATCCAAGCATTCTAAATCAGGGTTGCCAGGGCTCATCTTGCCATAATTCATAGTAAGAGACAACATGAGAGAACCATCTCCCCTGTGAATGTCACTTTATAATTGGTGACTAGGAAGTTGTTAGCCCTGTCCATATGTGAGCACTGCATTCATGGATCCCATCAATCATGGTTGGAAAACATTTGAAAAAACATTGTCTCAGGACTCACCATGCACAGACTTGTTCTCTAAGCAATATAGAATAACAACTACTTACGCAGCATTGATTTTGTAGTAGAAGCAATTTACAAATGATTCAAAGTACAGAAAGATGTGTATGTAGGTTATATGCAAATAACTGCTTCATTTTATGTAAGGGACCTTTACATAAGGCGTCTTTGGATAAGGCATCCCCTAGATTCAGGTTTGCCGAGGGCCGTCCTGGAACCAATTCACCTTGGATATAAAGGGGCGACTACAAACTCACGTGACAGTAAAAAAAATAAGGTCTAAACTAAGAACCTTAAAGTGAGAAATTATTATCTGAAATAATTAAACATGAGAAAGAAAACAAGCCCTCGAAGCTGCGGAGCACCCCTCTAGCTCACTTAGTCTCCTTATAATAATAAACTTTCAGTTGGCAGGATTGAAATTTGTAAGGCCCTTGGTTATAAGCCCAAAGGAAATGGCATAAAAGGATCAAACAAGCCACGTGTAGAGAGAAAGGAAAGTCTAGTACTGTAGATGGCTCTTCCACTCCCGGTAAGGTGGCCTCATAAGTTAAGGCTTTCAGAACCCCTATGTGTGAAAACAGAATGGTGTTCGGCAACGTCCCTTAATAGTATAAAATTCTGATTCTAAGCAATGTTAGAATTATTCTAGATGTCTGATCAACTTGGTGTTGATCAGAATCTGTAAAAAGAGAAGTTACATGATCCACAAGCAAGATAACACCCTGAACCCTACAGTAAATGGCACACTGAGTGGTTAACAAGATATAAGGGCAAGCTATCTGTGGACGCTCAGGGAGCAGCACTTTGGAATCCGGTGGCCGTTTCATGTCCTGCGGATGCCTCCCCATACCTAACACACACTTCCTGAAAACAAAGTTTCAACCTCGACTTAGGTGTAGCTACCAGCTGGACAGAGTCAAGGGAAAGCGAGGCGGCGACAGCACTCACCTACAAGCTCTCCAATCATGAAAAGCAAGTACAGGACCGCAGCAATGGTCAGCCGGGTCTTCACCTTCCTCTGCTTCAGCAACTCTCGCCGTTTGCTGCAGTTGTCACAGGGGTCCATCTTCAAACTCAGCTGACTGTTGGTCAAAGGTAAGTCCTGGTCCAATAAGGAGTCATCGTCGGCCTGGAGAGCCGGGTGCGCCCCGTTCACAGGCCTTTCCGGGGCTTCCGAGTCGTCGTCTGCCACCACGACTCGAAGTTTATTGAAGCGCGAAAGACCCTCGTCGCTCACCTCGTCCGAGAAGTCGAAGGCGCTGGTGTCATTTAAGAAGAGCGGCGCGTCGTCCTTCCTCAGCAGGGATTTGAGGCGCTTCCACGCGCCGGGGCCGGCCATGGCCGCGGAGGGCCGGCGGCTCCGCCTTCACCGGCGCTCGGGCTCCTCAGGGCAGCGCCCCGCGTCCCTGCCCATCGTGAGGAGAACGAGACCCGCTCCGATCGCCGCGCCCGGACCGCGCGCCAGCTCCGGGGCGCCTCAGGATCCCGCCGCGCTCAGCTACCCGCGGCCCGCCGCCGCCGCCTCCGCCGCCGCGCATCCCCTCCCCGGCGGCTCGCGCTGCTGCGTCCCGGGCCAGGGATCGAGGCTGGGCTCCAGCCGCTGCGCCCGCCCCGCGCCGCTCGGAGGCCGGCCGCGGGGTCTGACAGGCCCGGCCTCCTCCGGCCCCTGCGCGAGGCGGCGCGTGCGCCCGCCGGCCCGCGAGGCGCGAGGGAGGGGTCGGCGCGGCCACGCAGGCCGCGGCTCGGGGGCGCGCGGAGGGGGCGTGGCCGCGCGTCGCCCCCCGCCCCCGCTCCTCCCGGCCCCGCCCCTCCGCCTCCCCGGTGCTGTGCCCTCCGCGCTCTCCGAACAAACGAACGAACCCTCCAGTGTGCCGCGGAAAGGTCCCTCCCGGGCTGGGTGTCACTGCTCGAAATTCCCTCCACTGGAGATGGGTCTTGGGAATGTCGGGTCCGATCTTGGTTATGGATGACCGGTGGAAAATGTCAGTTAGTGTTTCTTACGAAGTGGTAACCTTGGTAGCTTTTCTTTTGCCAAATTGGCCAGATTTGCTGCTTAGCTTGGTCAAATGGCTAGGGCAAGGCTATGATGGTCAGTAGTTGTGTGGCTTGCCTCGTGTTTACTATTTCTCAGCAAATGTGTTCCTTCTGTGTTGTTCACTGCTACACTCCTCGTGCAAAGTTGTGAGTTTATTTTCCTTATCTCTTATCACATTCTCAAATGTCCTCAAGACACAAGGTTAAAGAGAATAGTCAGAAAAATTCATTTTAATGTGTAAATTCCTGGGTTGTACTTTTCTCCTTTTCCCTCTGAGATGCCTGGCATCTAATCCAGGGTCTCATGCTTTTTATAGGCAAGTGCTCTACCTACTGAGCTACACCTCCAGCCTGCCTGTGGTGTCCTGTAAGCGCCTACGTTCCAGGTGTTTACAAAGACTATTTTAAAAAATAGTCATTATATCCTACCAAACTGCAATACACAAAAATACAGTAAGAATCACATGAAGCATTTGGTTATGAAGATTCTGTTGACAACTTCAGATCATATGGCTGTTTTTGTATTCCATGGTGGATCCCTCATTTCTAAGTTTCCACACATTTCTCCCAGAGCTGCAGTCATGACAGCAAGTTAGACAACCTGAAGTAGACACTCTTACATCAAGACTGGAAGACTATTACCCAGAATTTCATCAATCAGGACACTCTGGTCATAGCCAAAGGGAGAGCTTACTGGGCATTACTTTCCTCTGCTTCAGTTATCTTATGTCCCATTTTTACTGCCCACAATGTTTCAGGAGTGTCATCAGAGTCTCTTGAATACAACCTCGGGGAAGGAGGAGTGTGGATGTTTCAAGCATAGTTGAAATGAAAGCATGGGTTGTGTGGGGACATTTACTACAAGCTGTGTTTAGGGCTCCAGTTATGCATCCTGTTTTGTTTTCACCCTTGTCTCGATGGATTCTGGAGAAAGCAATGAGATGACAACAAACATTTTAAGCTATGTCTGTGAGTTCTGTGATAACCCACTCCTCAGGGGATAGTTAAACTCCCTTCCCATTGCTTGTGGACTGCACTTAGTAATGGCATGACTCGTACTGAGTAATGAGTAGAATGGCAGAGGTGACTGTGACTTACAGACTAGGTCATAAAAGGCATTGCGGCTGCTTCCTTATTTTACTCTTGGATCTCTTACACTGTGAGGAGACAGCTACCACATCAAGAGGAACTTACCCAGTGCCGTAGAAAGGCCTATGAGAGAAGGAGCTTAGCTCCACCAACTGCCATGTGAGTGAACCCTTAGCTGTGGACCCTCCAGCCCTAGCAAACCTTTTGGATGTCTGTACCCCGGACAACTGACGTCTTGTGCACCATCCTGGACCAGAACTACCCACCCAGACCACTTGCAGATGATACAGAGACTGCGTGAGATAATGGATGTCTGCTATTTTAGGACACATTTTGGGATAAGATTTTTACAGCGAAAGAGAATACAGTATATTCGGATTTCTCCAGAACCTGGAAATACTCCTATTCTTCCTTTTCTTCTTCTTCTTACACCACATGAGACCTTGTTCCTACAGCTGCCCTGGAACATGATTTACATCACATGGGTGATGCCCTGGTACTAATAGTATGACTTACATCATCATGTTTTCAAATGGGCCAAATAGACTTCTGTCAATAGGTATGGAACATAACCACACTCACAGCATCATTTCTCTTTGTTTGGTGTTTATAATAATAGACAAACTGTTGAGAGATCACTAACTTAGCAGCAAGGCCTACGATTCTGCTAGTGGTCACTCAGCGTGCATTCTTTTATATAGGTCTTTATTCTTTTTTCCAGGCTGGATACTTTTTGTTTTTTGTTTTTGTTTTGTTTTGTTTTTTTGTTTGTTTGTTTGGTTTTTGTAATACATAAGAAATTTCACCAACCATTTAGCCTACCTTTCAATCAGGTGACCCTTACCATGCAGATTGTTTAGGTAACTCCAGAGACTTTGCCAATACAGATGAAAGAAACATAGCTGAAATAGACATAGACCTATGTCAAAACCTATTTTCTGGCCCAGGTGTCTCTTAGTAACAAAGCTAAACAGTATAAAAACAGCTAACATTTACTTAAGACTTGTTTCTGTGCCATGCAGGGACTGACTTATATTAATTCAGTTAGATATTAAACATTGTAAGGAAGAAGGTGGTGATTATAAACACGGGTTTTGTAGTCACGTTGCTTATCTTTGAGTCCTGGCTTCACCATTCTCCACCCTGGCAAACTGACCTTCTTACGCTTGCCTATCAAATGTAGATAGTGCCTACTTCATAGGGCTGTGGCAAAGACTAAAAAAGCATGTCTAACAAGACACATATTTTCTAGCATGTGGTAAGTCTCAACCATTGATAGCTATTCTTTCTATGTAGGCAAAGACACAGTCTCAGATTGCCAAGTGTCTCGGTCAAGACCACACAGCTAGGAAACAGAACAAGAACTCAACTGCATGCAATTTCAGTGCTCAAACTCAGTAATTTCTGGCAGTCTTCCTTATTGTTGATTTTTTTTTTCTGTGAACAAGTAGAACCATCTGAAGAAAAGCATCTAGATGTCTGGAAGTGTGCAGAGACCCATATTTCATGTATTTCATAGAACACCCAAGAGCTATGTACATCCCAGGATCCCGGGAAACTTCCTCCTTGGAAATAAGTTGGGATTGGTGAAAACGTTTTCAAAAATTGAAACAGGAAGAGAGACAGCTTAGTCAACAGGTTAAATACAGAAGATTCTAGAATGCTTTTCTCAGAGTGCGTGGCCATGGAAGGTTCCCATAGGACGTGTTGGACTGTGTTCTTTTCAGGACATGGGTGCTGTTGGATGAACAGTGATAATGGTGTGATATACAGCTAGTAATGTACTTGCTTTCTTTGGGGGGTGTTCTGATAACAGAATGGACAGTTTCAATTTGAATCCTCCCTAAAGGAGGAAACAGGAAGGCCCCAAGATAGACAAGGGAATTGTCCAAGTATAGGGAAGGCTCTTCCTAGGGTGGCTAGGAGATACAGGAGGATCACTAGCTACAGAACATCTGCCCAGTCAGGCAAATCTACCTGTAAGCCAGATCTGTAGGCAGTTTGAGTTCATTGCTTAACACCTTTGGTTCTGTATCCCTATAGTTTTAAAAGCAAATCCTGCTAAGGATTTCTCTATTCTTGCTGCAGTGGTGTTTGGGGGAATGAATAATAAGAATGGGAGCTTCACATTCCACTGTGAAGTCTGGAAGGTAGCAGCTGGGCTGGAAGTTTGAAAATGAAGGTAGAAGAGGGAGTGCTTCATCACAGATAAGAGTTTGGAGGATTAGGTGCAGTTTCTTATTTTGCCCTCCATTCTCTGTGACCCCCTAGCTGCACGCTATTACTGAGCTAGTTTCTTGTGTATGAAAGATAGGAAATGACATTTGTCCTACCTACTTTATAGGGACACTGTAGGATCAAAATAGTCTGTTGACTTTGCTATAGGGAGATTAGAGAGTGCCAGAATTAAATCAGAAGGCAAAGGTAAGTACAATGCTGATTTTCAAGAACCTAGCCTAACCTGCCTTTGTATCCATAGTACCTAACATCACACTTATAGTAGGAGCCCTAGGAATACTTAGGGATCAAGTTATGAAAAATATTTTAAACATAAGGCATCCAAACACAGCTTTACATTCCCCTCTAACAGAAATGGCTGGCTAGTTGTTTTAAAAGCAAGCATGGAAAGCCATTCCTAAGAAAAAAAATGTCAAAGTCTGGTGTGGCTGTGTCTCATTCTGTAATCTTAGCACAGGGAAGATTGAGGCAGGATCCTGTCTCAAAAACAAAACAAAACAAAACAAAACAAAACAAAAAAACCAAAACAAACAAAACCCAAAAAGAAATAACAAGAATAAACAAAAAGGAAGGTGAGTTTTAGTGGTAAGCTCAATGTTCTCATGATGATTAGTGAGTATTAACTTACTAATAGTTTATAGTTTTTCCATCTCTATTGTAACATTCACGAATTAAACCTGGATGAGAAGCAACTGCATACTAAGTAACTGGCCGTGGCCTCTAACTGTCGGTAACTTTACACAATAGGCCTTTGTATAAACTTACTCCAGAGTTTATTGTGGGGATTACTTAGATTAAAATCTGCCAAGTGCTTCAAGCTTTTCTCAGAATCCTTTTATGAATAAAAATGGCATTAATTTTTTTAATCTTGAAAAAGTATGTTTATTCTAGTCCTGACAAATGAAATATAACACGCTTACCTGCTGCTGAATTGCTGTGTTCCCTAAAGAAAAACAAAACATAACCCAAGATTAAAACCAAGCCTAAATTACCTTTAATGGCTTTAAGTGACTACAGGAGCACACTTGACTGAGAGGGAATTACTACCTTAATCACAAAGAGTTTGGTGTATAATTTATACTACACAATAATACCTTGTAGCCATCACAACAGATGATAATTATATA